ACTTTGGTATTACTGGTTTATATGGTTGCCTTGCTAATATCTCTTGCTGTTGGTGAAGCAATATCTGTAGGGAGGTCTGTGTACTGCTTTTCTTTCCCCACTGGCTTTTTAATAGTATCATGTAGTTCTTATATAATTCCTTCTTTTGCAAACTTTTCTGCTGTCGTTCTCAGGTCTCCTACATATTTCCGCTTGTCAGCCCTAATGTTCTTCACTAGTTTGAATAAAGCTAAAACAACGGTTGAGGCAGAATATGAATTCATTATATTTTGTGGTTTAGCATCAGCTGCTTACAACCATATATGTAGTAAAAGTTGGTATTAAGGTGTGATATAATGGGAAACATTAGACTTTGATGACGGAAAGAATTAAAATGACAAGTATTGCCGATACTATATATATGTCTGTACAATGACAGGTGTGAGTTTATTGGAAGATGGAATTCAAAATCATTCGGGGAGGGAATGAGCAGTAATTAAATGAGGTCCGGAGATAGATAAGACTGCGATAATTTCAGGTGTTGAAGGGTTTAAATATAATTACAGGAATTAGAAGTTAATAAGGCGGGTTATGTAATAATTGAACAGGATTTGAAGTTTACACAGGAGCATTAAGTGAATAAAGACCACACGAATAAACGGATAATTTTAGTTTACATAAGATAAGAGTTAGTTTAGCGAAGACCACATAACAAAATAAACGCTAATAAAATGATGATAATAAAAGAAATATTTTACCATGGTAGAAATAAGTTGATTATTGTCTCATTGTGGATAAACAAGTCAGGTTTTAATTTTTTTATTGTTGGTGCTTCGGAAAACCGGAGAGACCCTACGTGTTTTTTTTGCTAACGATTTGAAAGGATTGTGGAATATTGGTAGTATGCTCGGTACGAATTATATGCCGAGCTATTGCACTGTTTAGAGCTGTTTCTCCTATTGACTACTTAGTTTCCTAATATAGTTACATCAGTGACCAAATATTTTAGCATGCTCTATTTGACTTAGGAAATCCGAAACTTACCACGTCCTCAAAATGTACCTAGCTACTCAGATATACAATCCTCCCAATCGTCGAACTAGCGTGTTCCTACAGTATATTGATCGACACAGGTTCATATCTCGTGAAACTTAAGGTTTCCCATTGTTATGTACACAGATTCGCTCTAACTATGGAATGCTAGGCACGCATTATCCCGATGACACATATTTCACGAGCTACACGAACCCACATCAAGAAACTGTACATTCTTCTTAGATAGTGTATGCCACCGGACTTGAGACTTTGTCACACCTAAAAAATATTTGTTGCAAGTGATTAGTTTATTCACAGATCTCCCTTAACCACAACTAATTTCAGTTATCGGTGACGAAATACTGAATGGAAAAGCGAAAGATTCCAATTCACGACAAGTATGCCTCACTGCTCCGCTTTTTGGTGTACGACTTCGGAAGGTAACTTAAGTGCACAAGATAACACCCTAATGTAGATTTCTGTTATTCCCGATGACTCAGATGCTATCGCAGAAGAAGTTCGCAACTATATGAACCGTTACGACTACGTAATAACATCGGGGGGTATAGGTTCTACTCACGATGATGTGACATATGAAGGTGTTGCAAAGGCACTAAATGAAAAGATTATTATTCATCCAAAGTTCTTACAAACCCTCAGGAGACTATCAGAACCGAATATGATTTCCTCTTCAGACCCCATAACCAAACTTGCCAAAATACCGGAGTCATCTGAATTACTATATGCAACAGGAATCCAGATGGATAGTGAAAGCTCTTATCCTATTGTCAAAGTGAAAAACATCTTCATTTTACCAGGAGTTCCATGCTTATTTAATATGGCACTAGAGATAATTAAGGTAAGTTTGGTTCCGTTTTATAAATTTATTTTGAATGCACTAGACTCTCTCTAACCTAAGGAAAAGCCAGATCTTACTTACTTACGCCTGTTACTGCCAATGGAGCATAGGCCGCCGACCAGCATTCTCCAACCCACTCTGTCCTGGTCCTTCTTTTCTAGTTCCATCCAATTCTTGTTCATTTTCCTCATGTCTATTTCCATTTCTCGTCGTAATGTGTTCTTTGATCTTCCTCTTTTCCTTTGGCTTTGAGGATTCCATGTGAGGGCTTGTCTTGTGACGCAGTTGGGTGCTTTCCTCAGTGTGTGTCCTATCCACTTCCAGCGCTTCTTCCTGATTTCTTCCTCCGCTAGGATCTGGTTTGTTCTCTCCCACAGCACGTTGTTGCTAATAGTGTCCGGCCAATGGATCTGAAGTATTTTGCGTAGATAATTGTTAATAAACACCTGTATTTTCTGGATGATGGCTTTCGTAGTTCTCCAGGTTTCTGCCCCATACAGTAGAACTGTCTTGACATTTGTATTGAAAATCCTGACCTTGGTGTTGGTTGACAGTTGCTTTGAGTTCCAGATGTTCTTCAGTTGTAAATATGCTGCTCTTGTTTTGCCGATCCGCGCCTTCACATCTGCATCAGATCCACCCTGTTCATCAATGATACTGCCCAAATACGTAAAGGTTTTTACATCTTCCAAATCTTCTTCGTCAACTGTGATTGGATTGGTGCATTCTGTGTTGTATTGGAGAATCCTGCTTTTCCGTTTGTGCATATTGAGACCTATTGCTGCTGAGGCTGCTGCCACACTGTTCGTCTTCTCCTGCATCTGTTGTTGCGTTTGGGATAGAAGGGCCAGATCGTCTGCGAAGTCTAGATCATCCAACTGCATCTTAGATGTCCATTGTATCCCGCACTTCCCTTCAGACGTTGACGTCTTCATGATCCAGTCGATCACCAGGAGAAAGAGAAAGGGTGAGAGTAAGCAACCTTGCCTAACACCGGTCTTTACTTCGAACGACTTTGTCAACTGTCCTCCATGCACAATTTTGCAGTGTAATCCATCATATGAGTTCTGTATGATATTGACTATCTTCTGAGGCACGCCGTAGTGTCGAAGAAGTCTCCATAGTGTTGTTCTGTCCTCGCTATCAAGTGCCTTTTCGTAGTCAATGAAGTTGATGTAGAGTGATGAATTCCATTCAATTGATTGTTCCACAATGATCCATAGAGTTGCGATTTGGTCTGTACAAGATCTATCCTTACGGAATCCTGCCTGTTGGTCACGAAGTTGGGCGTCTACGCAGTCCTTCATCCTGTTTAACAATACCCTCATCCCAAATCTTATTGAGGAGAATGTGGAGTATCCTTGCAGTTGCCGCTACGTTTGCTTTTAGTGCCTCTGCTGGGATGTTGTCTGGTCCTGCTGCTTTGCCACTCTTGATTTAACTGATGGCCATGTTTATCTCTTCAATTGTTGGTGGGCCAACATTGATTGGGAGGTCCGTGGGTGCTGCTTTGATGTTGGGTGGGTTCAGTGGAGCTGGTCGACTCAAGAGTTCTTTGAAGTGTTCTACCCACCTGTTTTGTTGCTCTTCAATGTTGGTGATAACCTTGCCTACTTTGCTTTTCACTGGTCGTTCTGGTTTGCGGCGATTTCCAGAGAGTTTCTTTGTCGTGTCATACGATTGTCTCATGTTTCCTTCTCTTGCAGCCTTTTCCGCCGTCGTTCCTAAGTCTTCCACATATTTACGTTTGTCGGTTCTGATGCTCCTCTTCACTTGTTTGTTTATTTCCGTGTATTCAGCTTGTGCCTTGGCTTTTTCTGCTCTTGTTCGGCTGGTATTGATTGCTGCCTTCTTGTTCCTTCTTTCTTGAATCTTATCCAGTGTATCAACAGTGATCCATTCCTTGTGGTGGTGCTTCTTGTGACCCAGGACCTCATGACATGTCGAAGTGATTGCCTCTTTGATCCCCTTCCAGTTGCTCTCCACAGTAGTTCCTTCTCCATTGAGTAGATCATGAAAGGCCTGGAACTTGTTGCTGAGGACTATCTTGAATTTGTTGAGTTTGTTAGTATCCTGAAGAAAGGCCGTATTGAACTTTTGTGATATTGTCCGCCCCGTTGTCCAGTGCTTCTTGAGTTTCAATTTCATCTTGGCGACCAGCAAGTGATGATCTGATGCTATATCAGCTCCTCTCTTGGTTCTCACGTTCTCTATAGTCCTCCTGAATGTTTTGTTGATGCAAATATGGTCGATTTGGTTTTGTGTAGAGTGATCCGGTGAAGTCCATGTGGTTTTGTGTATGCGTTTATGTGGGAATATGATGCCGCCTATGACCAGCTTATTGAAGGCAAATAGGTTTGCAAATCTCTCACCATTTTCGTTTCTTTCTCCCAGTCCGTGTCGTCCCATGATGTTTTCATATCCAGTGTTGTCCGTTCCAACCATGGCGTTGAAATCTCCCATCAGAATGGTCAGGTCCTTTGTTGGGCACTTCTCGACGATTGACTGCAGCCTATTGTAGAATTGATCTTTAGCGTCTTCATTGTAGTCGTTGGTAGGCGCATAGCATTGGATGACGTTCATTGAAATGGCCTTTTTTTGTTTTGAAGGAGGCTTTGATGATCCTTGGTCCATGAGATTCCCATCCTATAAGCGCATTTTGCGCTTGTTTGGACAGCATCAATGCAACTCCTTGTGTATGTGGTGCATTTTCTTCCTCATGGCCGGAGTATAACAGGAGCTCTCCTGAAGTTAGTCGTTGTTGTCCAACTTGCGTCCAATGTGTTTCACTGATCCCAAGTACCTCTAGGTTGTATCTCCTCATTTCTGCAGCAATTTGGAAGGCTCCCTTGGTGTCCCACATCGTACGAGTATTCCATGTACCTAAATAAATGGTCACTCTGGTTGTCAGAAGGGGCATCGGCCTCGTAACTTCCGAAGGAATTCGGCTTTCATCATGAGGCGTCATAACTCTTCTAAATGAAGACCTTTTGACTCCCAGGGCAGAGTTTAAAAGGTTTGAATAATTTTTTCTGGTTAGCGTTTTTTTAGCGAGTTAGTTTTCTACGGCATGGGGTCACTAACTCCATGCCCAACCCTCCTCCTTTATCCGGGCTTGGGACCGGCAGTAGCCCCCGGAGGGACTCCAGGCGGAGTTAAAAGCCAGATCTACGTATAATATAAGTTGCAGCTCTCACACCGGACTGCAGTGACGTGATCATTGGCTTACCACGTATATAATCTGCAATAAATCCGGCAGCAAAGGAATCACCAGCTCCATTTGTATCTACCATTTCTTCGTTTTTCAACTGCTCTACAACATATTGATGAACGGTAGGGTCAGTAGAATCCGTATATATTATGGGATCTTTCCCTTGTGTTACAATGACCAGTCGTTTACGCTTTTTTCCATCAACAAATGGTAAGTCAGCTATATACCTGGCTGCTGCATGAATGGTTTTATCAGTAAGACTGTGAGCATCTCCAAACGCCGCGGCTTCAGACTCATTCCCAATTACCACTCCTGAGTAGGATATCATTTCATTTACTTCTTTAGTATTAAACTGAGGTAGGAAAGCAGCACTGAGATTGAAACAGAACAACTTTCCGTTTTCTACAGTCGAGCGTAAGGCTGTACTATAAATTGGCGCTATTCATATGTGGTTCTGTTGTTATTCAATATTCGTAGACCTAATTCTGATAAGAAGGGAAAGCGCGTAGTTGATTGGAGTGTGAGAGACCTCTAAAACGGACTATCTTTAATCGCGTATTACATTTGTGCGTGATTATTATCCTGTTAACATTGTGTATACAAGCATGTTTTTAAAGAAGCTATTCTACCGAATTACTCTCGTCTTTTGATATCACTTTAATTGGGGACGGATACATCATCAATTCAATCTTGTGAGTAGCTATCACTCGGCTAAACTGTATCACAAATGCAAAACGTTGTTCCGAGTCTGGTATGCATCACCGTCTGAACTAATGATGGTGAGTGAAGTAGTTGAGTGTGTCGACCACTTTACTTACCTTGAAAGTCACATAAGCTCTGATGAGTCGGCATCTGACAAAATCGCAAATGCGTTTCTCAACCTAACACTTGTAGTGTGGACGGGATGTCCATCTGCCAAGTCAACTATGAATTTACTGCTCGACCGTTCGTTATGTTCTGCTTAATGGTTGTGAAAGATATCCACCAAGAATAGACGACATTGAGCAACAATACCAAGATGTTTGGGTTGCGTTTCTCACCCTTTAAATTCAAGTTGTTACTGCAGGACTGGTCTGCGTCGATACCTGAACTAAGGATAGGGAATAAAGTAGTCGAACGCATTGACAACTTCACTTATCTTGGGACTCTGGTCAGCCCTAATGTGCTGACGAAATTTCTGCACGGATTCAAAAAGCTCATTCGGCTTTTGCTTAATTACGTCACCTATAGCGAAAGAGAGATATTCGTCTATCAATTAAGGGACAAGTATATTGCACAGCAGTTCGTTCTGTTCTAATTTATGGCTGCTAAACGTGGCCATTAAAAGTAGAAGATACTCGTAAGCTCCTATCGTAACCAATGGTTGGAGACTGTGTGACATGGCTCAGAACCGATCACAATGGTGTAAGTGTATACACTCTTTGTTTTCCCTTAAATCGGGAGACTGAAATTGCTTTTTACCTTTCTCTTCATGTCCTTTTTCTCTTCTCAAATTTACTTCACTGGATTATACTCTTTGAATAACATCTTCAAACCTTAGTCTTTCCGATTACTACTTATACTCTTACTACTTCTACCACTATGGGATTTGAATCGACAATTGTATCTCTGTGCTAATGTGGTATGGCAACTTGAGCTGATGTACGTACGTACGAAGTTTTTGCTGACTGACTGATTATGTCCTTATACACAATCTTTTATATATTACTATCATTGAAATAACTACTATGAATTCGATGATCATCTTGTTGCGCTAATAAGGTGTGGCAACTTGAACCGATTTATATATGTGCCTGGTCCTACGTTGTAGCTGACTGATATTCATAGGACACTACTATTCATTCATAGGTTGCTTCAAAGTACCGCTCATATATGTTGAAACGACTGAGTAATGTTCAGGTTAGATGTATGGTAGTGAACCGACTGATGTGGCAGTGAATCTTTCTCGACAGATGGTTGGTATGTGCATTATGTATGGCCAACCACTTTCAGCTCAACAGGTGTAGGGGCAAACTGGAAGAAGTTTAGGGATGGCCAAACATAAATGCTGCACAAATCTATGTTATAACCGAGCGAGTACTGGAAAAGTTAAACTTTCGAAACTGTTTTAGATTTTTTTGTTTGTTAAATGCCCAAATGATTGTATTCTCTTGCTTGTAACATTTTTCACGATGCATAAACCGTTATAATATATTGTAACTCCTAATTTACTGTTAATTTATTACAAACCTATTGCTCACTTGTCCTCCATCAACGGGATAGTCGTACCGATATTGTAATTTCTTAATTATGTTGATATGTCGTCAAGATTTTACTCCACATCATTCCATTATTTTTGAGTCATGAATAAACTGATAATAATAGAAACTGGCTGCTAACCTTTCTCTAGGAATAAAGACCAGAAAAACTTGAGTATAGCGGAAGAATGTGAGTTTATCTTACGTCGGCTCAAAGTTAACAGTGCAGGTCAAAAGTCCAGTTGGTCGAGTATAGGATAGTAAGCTATAAATGGAATAGTAGAAGCTAGATCGATTAAACCATAGTCCGAATTCTGACTGGACAATACAACACGTGATATCAGTTAGTATTCCCGGATGACAACACTATAAAGTCGTTGAAAATTGGACTAAGCCATGTGAGTGGGGGCAGAACACGTAATTGTGGTCCACACGACCATCGTAACGTGCTTGGAGAAGTTAAATGACAAGGCTCATAATCGATCACATTGTTACAGAAGCGTTCCCCGTCTTTTTTCATATTTTGAGTTCCAAAATCACACTGTTTCCCTTTTTTCTACATGTTTCCTACTACCACTGATACTGTTACTACTTTGGGATCTGCCCGGAAAGTTCTGTCGCGATGTGCTAGTGTACAATTCGTTTGCATAATCATAGAGTCTTAATTCGTAATTCACTTGACCGACTAAAAGTGATGTATACAATGATTTAGGGGAACTGAAATTGATCAGGGATACTTTATAATAGTTGCTTCACCAACCGTCATACAAGTGCATCAGTAAAGAAATATCTATCAGTTTCACCAATCATAATATTCACTTAACATTATTTAATAATGGCCAATTTAGTCTTCCGGTTCGCATCCTACAAGCAAGAAATACCATCCTGAGCAATAATCAATAACGTAGGTGTCATTACCAAGGTTTGATTTGATAATTTCGAATAAACTGAGCATTGGGTTGATTGTTATAAATAAAAATAATATATTTGTAATATCCCAATGTGTAGAAAATGGGATTTTCTGACGTTTCGTGACTTAGTGTAAGTCACTTCTTTAGAGAATAAATAACCAAATTAAAATTAATCCAAGTTTAAATAGTACAACGGAACAATGCAAGAATAATATTTGATCAGTCCAAAACAGGTCTGAACAAGTTGATGTCTTGTCATTTCTGTCAAGGTGATTCATAAGTGATATGTATGTATGTGTGCATTGTTTAAGAATGAAAACTTGTGTGACCTTTATGGTAAGAACGGATAGAGTTTAAATTTGTAATATGATAGTGTGAAATTGTAAATACGATCAGACTGAATGGCTAGGATAGATGGTCCAAGTAGGATGTATGGTAAGACCCTTTCTATTGAGAGAAGTAGGATTAAGCATTATATGGAACGCCTCAGCTACCCTCCTTTCTTTGTAGTTGGAAAAGCCTTTTTGCAATATTTTGATATTTTTAAAATCGATTTGGTGGTTGTTGAAAATGGCATGAACTGCTATTGCCGATTTAATTTGAAGTTGGTTCAATTCTACAGGATTGTTAGGAGGTTTCTTTGTGTACCTAATATGTTCTTTGGCTCTAGTCACGATTTCACGGGATGACTCTCCAATATAATAGGGATTACAATCGATACAACCTAATTTGTAGACGCAGTTCTGTGTGGACATGAAAGGGATTTTATCTTTCAGGCGAACTAAAGTATTACGTAGTGTGTCCGTTGTTTTGTAATACACTTTAATTCTGTGATGTTTTAAGATTCTTTGGATTTCTTCTGTTGTGCCATGACGGTATGGTAGAACTACAGTACCAATCCATGGCATTTCATTCGAATCATTATTATAATGTAATAAACTGTTTTGTTTTAATATGCTTCTAATAATCTTCATAGGAAAATTATTAAATTGTAAGATGCTAATTATATTCATTTGTTCTTTTTGTTTGTCTTCCTCTGATGTGATGATCTTGTTAGCTCTTCTAAGAAGATTTAAGGCTAGCGAGATTTTTGCACTGAAAGGATGTGCTGAATGGAAGTCAATGTAACGGTTTGAATGCGTCGGTTTTCGGTAAATGGATAGGTTTAGACTTCCATTTGAATTTCTTTTTACTAAACAATCCAAGAATGGTAGTTCACCATGTACATTTTCATTCGTGAATTTGATGTGCGATGAAAGTGTATTTATTCGTTTTGAAAAAGATCTTAGATGAGTCTTTTTTATAACAACAAATGTATCGTTTACATATCTAAGCCAAATTCGTGGTATAATGTTGTGGGCGAAGATATTTGATTCTATGTATGCCATAAAAATGTTGGCTACAATCGGGGACACGGGGGATCCCATCGCTACACCGTTAGTTTGTTTGAATAACATACCGTTAAAAGTAAATAGCGTTGAATTTAAGCAAAGTTTAAAGGATGATGATTAATCCGGATAATTTTGATTTGAAGTCATATGTGTCTTTAATTATATTATGTCAGTCAGTCAGTCAGTAACAACGTAGAACTTCGTACGTACGTACATCAGTTCGAGTTGCCACATCACATTAGCACAGAGATGCAGTTGTCGATTCAAATCCCGTAGTGGTAGAGGTAATAAGAGTATAAGCAGTAATCGGGAAGATTAGGGTTTGGAGATGTTATTCAAGGAGTATAATCCAGTGAAATAAATTTGGAAAGAGGAAAAGAGGGACATGAAGAATTCAGAAGATTAGAATTTGGGAGAACACAGAGAGTGGATGCACCTGCGCCATTGCAAACGATTTTAAACCATGTCATTCAGGGTCTCTAACCATCGGTTGCTATCATCTCGCGGTCCACAACCAGGTAGTCTACACCTACCAACATGGCTCAGTTCACTTGTCAGTGACTTCATGGACTTGTGCCACGTTTTGGTTTGGCCGCCCCTAGCTTTCTTCCAACCTACTCCTATACCACTGAACATAGCAGGTCGAGGCAGTCGGTCGTTGGGCATACGTAACACGTGTCCCAGCCATCTCAACTGATGAAGTTTCACTACTTCATCAATTGATTTGTCATCCTTACCTAGTACCCGTGTCCTAACAACTGTGTTACTTACTCGATGGTCCCATGATATACGAGCAATGTTTCGAAGACACCTATAATCAAATACTAGTAGCCTACGGATATCCTCTACTCTTACCGGCCATGTTTCACTGCCATAAAGTAGGACGGAACGAACTGCTGCGCAGTAAACCCGTCCTTTAGTTGATAGACGGATATCTCGCCTACGCCATAAATGAGGCAAGTTGGCAAAAGTTAGTCGAGCCTTCTGTATCTGTGCTGAGATTTCGTCACACACTAAACCACAAGGGCTGATGAGACTTCCAAGATAAGTGAAGCGGTCGACATACTCAACTACACTCCCTATCACTAGTTCGGGTGTCGATGTAACCCAATCTTGAAGCAACATTTTGCATTTCGAGGGAGAGAATCGGATCCCGAACATGCTTGCATTGTTGCTTAGAGTGGTCAGAAGACTCTGCATTTTGTC